ATATAAAAAACGAGAAATGTAATCATGAACTATGTAATCTTGAAGCAGAGGAAAGTCTCCCTAAAAGTATACAGTAATGGGCGTAGAGAGATAATTCATGAAACAGTTTGAGTGTCTCTTGTGAAACTCGAGCCTCTGCTACTGGGTATAATGAGTCTGGTTTTAAGGAGTGGGAGAAGTTTGGAAGAGGTATTTTGTAATGGATATTCTGACATTTTTTTTTTCTTGAAAAGTACAACACCCTTGTTTTCTCTCCCTAGATAAACATCTACTCTATCTCTAACATAAAATTACCTCTGAACACTCATTCAGCATGTGTACTAGACATTGGATCAATATAAACAAGGTCCCCGCAGACATAGGGTTTACATTCTGGGGGGCAGGGAAAACAAAGGGGGTATTGGGAGATAGTAAACGACTAAACAAAAAAACACCTTAGTGGTGAAAACAAAGTAAAGGCTGGTGAGTTGAAATTGGGAGAAGGGAGTTAAGTATGCCTATTTAAAATGAGGTGAAACAAATTCTCCCCTGGAGCTGATTTTTCTGAATAGCAGGGAAGAGAGGAGCATTTCAAACAGACTGTAAAGGCCTAGAGTAGAGCCGGGAACACTGAGGCATTGCAAGGAACATTGAAAGAAGAGTGGGGCTGTGACACAGAGCAGCCAGCTGGTTATACCTGTAGCAGGTAACTGAGCCAGGAGAGGGGATTGAAGGAACAATTGACCAGAAAGTCAATTTCTGAGACTTTCTGGAAAGTCCTAGAAAGATTGAACAGTTGCTTAAAGATAGTGCCGTCATTATTTGAAAAAAGGAAAAGTTGGAGGAAGAGAGAACCTTATGATAGGGTTGGGCCCAAGATCAAAGGCCAATTTGTGATTCCTCTATATCTGCTGGATTAGTTCAGAAACCTTTCCAGGCTTTCTGTTTGTCCTTTCAGTCTTAGTTCACAAAAAAGCAGCACATATCTAATAATCAAAACTCTAATTCTTACTGTGGCCTGAGAACCCTACATAAACGCCACTGTCCATCTAAAAATGTTTTTTCCTCATTATATACTCCTATCCCATTTTTTGTAGAGCAGATCCTCCAATAAGGTCATTTTGTTATATTTATGAGGGAAAAAATTATGGCTTATGTTGAACTGAGGTAATTCAAGGACATGCTTTCTTTATACTTCTGTTTCCCTTTAAGCTTTAGTTTTGAAGAGCCAATGGACCAGACTAAGTGAGGACTGATCCCCTGATCCTCTGGCCTCCATTCTCTCTCCCCTGAGAATACCAGGGTTCCTAAGGCCTTTTCCACTTTCTGTCCTGCCTGGAAAAATGGCATCTGCTTTTTGTCTTTGTAGCTCCTCTAGTCAGGAGTTTTCCTGTCTACATTCCCAACCCATTGTATAGTTGTGTTTTTTTTTTTTTATAGAGTATTTATCACTAAAATTATTGTGCGTATTCTTTTTGGTCTTTTTCCATTAGAATGTCAGCACCAGTAGGGAAGGCATTTTCTTACTAGTGTATCTCTAGCACAGTTGCAAGTCCAAGACTTGAGTCCAGCAAATACTCTGGAGTTGGAAAACATGAATTTATGTCATTTGAGCCCAAGAAGAGAAATTGTAGGTTTTACCCAGGGTTAGGGGTTAAGCTGAAAAATAGGGCTTGCTGGGGATAAGGAAACACATGGGTACAGAAAAGAGCATAATACATAGCTCATGAGGGAGAATAGTGTTGTCTAGATTTTATAAAGACAGATGAGGTGGAATATAGAAATAGTGATGGACCATTGTAGGCACAGTACTACAACATTGTCAAGACCAACATTGTCCAGTCAGTTCTCTGCAATGACAGAAATGTCTTATGTGCTGTCCCCTTGCCACATGTGGCCATTGAGCACTTGAATGTGACTTAATAACTTTTGAGCACCTGAAATTTTAATTAGTGTAAATTTCAATATTCATGTGGGGTTATCATTGAACACACAGTTAAAGCGAATTTTCTTCAAAAGGAGCTTAAAACTTACACACTACACTCCTCTCAAAGAACTCTTAAAGCTGGTTCTCTAGGATTCCTCATCAGCATTTCGTTAAGCATTTGAGCTTTGTGAATACACTCAAAAATAAAAAAAATTCAAAGATGTCTTTTGTATTTGTTTACTGTGGGGAGGTTGTAAGTTGATAAATTTCCTTAATAGTTTCAGTTCATCTAAAGACACCAGTAATGGCTGAATGCATAAGGCTTAGCATGAGAAAAGATTGTAACACAATAAATGTTTAATAATCAAAATAATATTAAGAATTCAATAAGATAAACCACAAGAGAAAGTGGTTAGACTGCTTCAGTGAGTTATGTAATAAAGAAGATATCAGTGCAGTCAGTAGATATAACAAGAAGTTCATATCATGAATTATCAAAGAAACAAAACCACAATATTTCAGTATACACCCACAAGAATGGCTGATATGGAAGACACTGCTAATACTATAAATTTATGAGGATTTGTATTAACTGGGATTCCCATCTGCTGTTGTGTATATAAATTGTACATTTTGGAAACTTGTTTGGTATCTATTAAAAATGTGCATACAAATATAAGCTGTGACCCAGTGATTTCACTCTTTTTCTTAATCCAGTGTAATGCATGTACATACTACACAAGCATGTTCATAGCACCATTATTTGTCTTAGTGAAAAGTTGGAAACAACCCAGAAGTCCTAGTGGGAATGAAGAAGCAATGACCTAATTTAATAGTAAAATATATAGCAATGAAAATGAACAAGCATAGGCAATAACACGGGTAAAGCTCACAAATATTGAAAGGAAGCCAAGGGCCTCCTTTCAGCAACTATCATTGCTAACCACCTGAGTTGGATCCCCCAGCCAGGGAGCTAACCCAAGTATGGGGCAGCAAATCTCTCTTGTCTCCCCAGCCACTCCCCTTAGCGATGCATTTCAGTAAAATCTGCCTGTTCTGCTCCCTACTCTGTCTCTGATGAATCCTCTCAACCCCTGTACCTCTGACCTACATCCCAGCTCTAAAAAAAAAAAAAAGCCAAACACAAAGTAATACATAGAAGAAAATATAACTGTAGAGTTCAAAAACAGCCACAATTTAATTTATAATGTTAGAAATCAATGGCAGTGATTATTATATGTACAAGGGAGGGGTGTAGTTATTGGAACAGTTAGGCTACTTTGAAACAAAGTTAGGATAAGAACTAGTTTTGATTGCAGTACTATATAAAATACTTTGATACTCAGTGACTTTATTAAGTCCTATTGCATGTGTATAATAGGAGCAGCAAAGTCATGAAAGTGATGTATAAGATTCAAAGTTAATTTTAATATAGTGGATCTTAATCCTGGCTATACATCAAAAGCAACAGGAAACTTGAAAACACAAGCAAGTCTATTCCCAAGCCCAGTCTTCACAAGTTGGGACCCAAAAAAAAAGCTGAGGATGGGGGGGAAATTGGGACAGATGCAGATTGTTGGCAGGATTGTAAAACAGTACAACTGCTATGGCAAACTATGGCATTTTTTTAAATTAGTAATAGAATTACCACATCATGTAGCATTTCTACTTCAGGAGATGCAGCTAGAAGAATTGAAAGCAGGATCTCAAGTTATTTGTATACCCTTGTTCGCAGCAGGTCTGCACACAAGAACTAAGAGGTAGAAGCTACGCAACTGTCCATTGATGAATGTATGATAAACATATTATCGAGCCGTATATAAAAGAAAGGAAATTATGACATATGCCACCATGTAGACAAACCTTGAGAACACTGCTGGCATGAAGGAACCATTCATAAAAAGACATATTTATAAGTACCTAACATAGCCAAATTCATAGCAATAGAAACTATATAGAATGGTGGTTGCCAGACTGGGGAATAGTGAGAGTGACTTGTTTAGTAGGTTCAGAGCTTCACTTTTGCAAGTTCAGAAGCTACTTGCTCAGATACATGAACACTACAGAAGTACAGTTAAAGGATTGGAATGGTAAATTTTGTATTTTGCCACAATTTAAAAAAAATCTACAAGTGATTAATAATGTGGCAAAAGTTGAACTAGCATTGCTTGAATGCAAATACTGGCTAAATGCAGTACCTTGTCTCTACAGTGGACAGTTCATTAGATCATGCTTTGTTTTGTTGATGTACCACCTTTGCTTTTTATCTTTAATAATGCTGTATAGAAATATTTAGAAGACTTTCTCTGGCATCAAGTTTTAAGATATTTTGGGCATTTCATTGATGAATGAATAACATCAACACCTAGTTTTTTGTTTTTGTTTTTTATTTCTTTATGCATACAAGAACTGGGATACAGGCCAGAGGCGCAGGGGGGTTAGAGAAGGGGAGCAGTGGGAAGGTCAGGAGAGGGCTGCTGCACCACGTGAGTCAGCTCCCTGGCTGAGTATCAAGCTCCTGCTACAGTGGCTGCCGACCGCTTCATAGTACTGTGCTTTAAACTTGTTGTGCCACCAGGGAGGGCCTCATTTTTCTTTCTGATAATCAGATTTTATATTACCTTTTTAACTAGAAATAACAATTGCCTGCCTTCATTCATTGAATTATTAAGTTATAGAATGAATAGCTATATGCTAATATTTTCTTTATTCTCCCTGTCACTTTTTTTGCCAGGAACTTAACAGACTTTTCCTGCTAAGACCTCAATTTGTATTTTAAAAAAGTAGAAAGATTGTAAATTTAAAGATTGAAATAAGCCCAAATCATCCAAAAATAAGAAGTACATAATGAAACAGCTTTTAGTACTTGTATGGAACAAGGTTTGTATTGGTTTAAAAATAGATTTATTCATCATTTGGTTTTACTTATTTTTTGCTGTCTCAGTTGTGATGTGTTACTTGTTACTGTCTTGTGTGTGTTACCTGTACCTGTTACTCTTAAATAACACTTTCAGTTCCTATAAAGCAGTGCTTTGAGCACAACAGAGTTTTGCTGTTTCTTTTTTAGGACATAGAATTGTAAACTTTTGAATAGCAGGATTGGAAGTAATTAAGAATGTCCCTACCGAGTCGACAGACAGCTATTGTTAACCCTCCACCACCAGAGTATATAAATACTAAGAAAAATGGGCGATTGACAAATCAGCTGCAGTATCTACAAAAGGTTGTCTTGAAGGCTTTATGGAAGCATAGTTTCTCCTGGCCTTTTCAGCAGCCAGTGGATGCTGTTAAGCTAAAGTTGCCTGTAAGTATGTACTAGAAAGAAAACTGTTAAGTCTCTGAAAGAAATATATTAACCAGCTTTTAATATAAAATACATGTAAAAAATACTGTTTTAATCCACCCCACTGAAAAATATCTCTATTTTTTCCCTAAACAACATAGTTCATTTTTCTGAGCACTGAAATTCTTATTTTGACACTTTGTGGTAAACTATAGTACATACTTTCTTGTGATACCATATATTTTCTGACATTTTGATGCAGGGCTCTTGAAACTTCACTGGAAGACCTTATTGCAGCAGACAGAATTCAACTTTTTGTCTTACATTAGCCACCTGTTAAAAATCAGCCATCTGATAACAAAATGCTAAATTTATAGCCATTTGATAACAAAATGGCTAAATAAACTGAAATGGATGTTATATTCTAGATCTATCAGAATACAGACTTCATAAAGACTAGTTCATTTTTCTAAATGTTTAAATGTCCTTTTTGTTTGAATACTTCTACTCGTTCAATCTTGTCCTTTTTTTTTTTTTTTTTACATTTTTGGGCTTTATTTTTCTCTGTACAACAGTATCCTGGCAGTTGGATCTATTACTCATTACTGAAGATTTTACCTCCCAAATTACAACTTTTTAGATGTAACCAATGATTCTTTCTAGTTACAGCTATATAGTTTCAAGTTCTTTATTTGCTAATACTTATAAGTGAATTCATTCTCACTACTAATATTTAGAATTTCTTCTTGGAAACCATAGGATTATTATACCATTATAAAAAACCCAATGGATCTAAATACAATTAAGAAGCGTTTGGAGCATAAATATTATGTGAAGGCTTCAGAATGTATAGAAGACTTCAATATGATGTTCTCAAATTGTTATTTATACAACAAGGTATGTAACCTGAAGTTAGACTTCTAATTCTTAGCTGTTATATATAGATAAGTATAAACAATTATGCTGATTTCAGATTTCATAACATTAAAGCAAAATTCAATAATTTTCCTGAATTAACTAAGAAATGTGTTTTCTGCTTTAGATTTTTGCTTTATAATTTAGTTTTTTCTTAGTATGAAATGAAGTAAGAAGATAACTTTAAAGAAGATAAGATTTAAAAGCTGAATTATCTCCACAGTGTCAGAAGAAAATGGACAATTAATTGAAAAATGAATCACAGGCCCTTCCTAGTGGCACAACAGGTTAAAGCGCAGCACTGTGAATCTAGCCACAGCCACTGCAGCACCGAGTTCCATCCCCAGCCAGGGCACTGACCCACCTGGCCATGGCCGCCCTCTCCTGACCCGCTTGCTGCCCTACTTAGCAGTGTATTTCAGTCTACCTTTTCTGCTCTTCACTCTGTCTCTTGTGAATCCTCTCATCCCCCACACCTCTGGCCTATACCCCAATTCCTGTATGCATACATAAATAAATCTTTAGAAAGAAGATTGAATCATATTAGGTCAACCTGTGATGCTCTTTGTGCATATGTAAACAAGTTTTGTCTTAACCTATTAGTGAAATTCTAGTTTCTGATACTTTATTGTATTAGAAGGGTTGTTTGGGATGTAACCTTCTGGTGCTCACGTGAGCAGCCTGGTTTTCGATGGAAGTTAAAAGTAAAATGTTAGAATTTAAATGTGAATTGTTTCGCTATTTTCTGAGCTTAATGTAGAAGCTATAAATACTGGTTAGTAAAGTATCTAAAAGTACAGTGTCACTAGTTTGTAGAAATTTGGCATAGTGGCTATAGCTGTGAATTGATGGCTGTCTTATATATTTTCTAGCCTGGAGATGACATTGTTCTTATGGCACAAGCACTAGAAAAGTTATTTAGGCAGAAATTATCCCAAATGCCACAAGAAGAACAAGTTGTGGGTGGTAAGGAAAGAATAAAGAAAGGTAAGCAGGAAAAGGTTTATGTTCTTTCTCTTCCATATGTTTACTACACACATAGGCATTAGCCTGTTTGATGCATCTAAAAAGAGATAGACATCTAGAAGTCCTACTACCACCTATTCTTTTGATGTAAATGGCCATTTAAATAGCTGAATTTTGAGCACAAGGATGTCTGTCATACAAGATTACCATGCATTGATTGTGGTCGTGGAGCCTGATTTCCTGTAGCACAGTGCCATTCATTCATATGTAGGTGCCCAATAATGTAAATGCTAAGGTGTCAAGTTACTATTTTTTAGTAGATTCTGTATCTATCTATACTAATAAGAAGGCCAAAATTGCCAATCTTTTCTGTACTAAAAGATCCCATTAAGATTAAAACATTACTCTTGGGTCAGAAGTTCAGTTTTTTATTTTATTAAATGTTAACTGTGTCCTATACTTTATTAGGTATTCAGCAAAATGTAGCAATTTCTTCTGCTAAGGAAAAACAGTCACCCAGAGTACCAGAAAAAGTATTTAAGCACCAGGTGATTCCTCCTGTATTTCCTGAGACATCTATCTCTCCTTTAAACATGACACAAGGAACTCCTCTTAATTCTACTTCACAAACAGTGACACAAGTAAGTTTACAGTTTAAATACTTCAGTGTAACTTAGGTGATTGTGCTGTCAATATGTTTTGTAAGTTATAAAAATTGGTCTTTGAATGCTATTTCTACCACGTGCATTTTGTGAACAGAGGGTACAAACCAAATCTTTATGATTTCTTAGATTTGAACTGTTACCGTGTCTTTGTAGTATAGAAATATCAGAAGTTGTGCTGTAATTTTCTTTTTTAATGGTGACATAACTTTTATTTACTATTTGGTAGGTTGATAGATATTTTTCTTTTAAAAATTGTATATCCTAGCTGGGGTTTTTGGTCTTTGTATGACCATGACTTTTTTCAAGATTTATTTTATTAATTTATAATGCATACAAGAGCTGAGGTGTAGGTCAGGGTTGCCATTGAGGGGAGCAGCAGGTTGAGACAGGAGAGGTCTACTGTGCTATGCACGTTAGCTCCCTGGCCAGCAATCAAATTTGTGCTGCAGTGGCTGTTGATCGCTTCATAGGGCCTCCACTGGGAGGTCCCAACCTGACTTCTTTAAATTTTTGATTGGTCTCAAAGCTTTGTACAAGATAAGTCTTTGGGGCATGGGAAGAAAATGCCGGAACTATTTATTTTGCTTATAAAAGAGACATTAAGCTTTAATACTTAGTACATAGACAGTTTTGCCAGTAATCTTTTCCTTGTTTTAGAAACTAAGAGTAAGGATCAAAAGTTGAAAACTTTTTCTAAATATAACTATAATTGTACTTTTTGTGTTAAATTGTTTTGCTTTAGGCTTCAAGGGGTGTGAAAAGGAAAGCAGATACAACTACTCCTACAACTTCAGTAGTTACAGCAAGTAGTGAATCTTCGCCGATATTTTCAGAAAAAAAATCAGTGAAAATGCCACCTATAAAAGAAAATGTGCTGAAGAATGTTTTGCCAGATTCTCAACAGCAATATAATGTAAAGAGTGTTGAAGTAACGGAACAATTAAGGCACTGTAGTGAGATTCTTAAAGAATTGCTTGCGAAGAAGCACTTGTCATATGCATGGCCCTTCTATAATCCCGTTGATGTGAATGCTTTGGGACTCCATAACTACTATGATGTTGTGAAAAATCCAATGGACCTTGGGACTATCAAGGTAAATGTTATTTTAATAGGATGAACAACATTTTTTGATTATAGAAATGATTTTATCATTGTAAAAAAATTTAAAATTCAGAAAAAGATGAAATCATCAGTAGTGTGATTCCAATGAATTGTTGGAACATTTAAAAATATCTTTATGGGCCCTCTCTGGTGGTGCAGTGGGTTGGAGCACTGTACTGCGTGGCTAAGCCAAGTCATGGCTACTTCAGTGCGAGTTCGATCCCCACCCCTGAGGTGACCCACATGGTGTGCAGACCTCTTCTGTCTCACCCACTGCTTTCCTCAGCAGCAGTGTACCTTGTCATTCTGACTGTTCTGCTCCCCATTCTGTTTCTGGTGAATCTTTTCACTGCCCCTGCACCCTATTTCTGTATACATAAATAAATAAAATCTTTTAAAAAATTGTTTTTAAGTACATCATGGTTCTTTACCACATATTTGGGTTACAGTATATAATATAACTGTACCCTGAACTTTTTCTTGTATATTATTGATGTTTTCTCATTATGTTTTGTAGAATATTTTTTAATACTTCTACAGTTCCACTTTTTTTTTTTGGGGTAAGGCATTTACGTAGTTTCCAACCTTCTCCATTTTTATTCTTGTTTTTTGTCTTCCACAGGATTAGTAAATGTTCTTTAATTGCTAATGAAAGCTATAAATTATTTGCAAAATCTAATTATATATATTATATACATATACATAAAGCTTAGAGTCAACAACAAAAGGAATATAGCTGTAGCATTTATAAAAGTATTCAATATCTCAGTCTTCCTAAAGAACTACTCATCTTATTTTCTATTCTTATTTTCTATTCTATTCTCTATTCTATTCATTATTTTCTATTTTCTATTATTTTCTATTCCGGATGACATATACTTCGTTTGTTTTGTTTTATCATTTTGGGTTTATTAAAAACATTTATTCAGTGTCATAATCAGAGTATTTCATTTACCAGTTAGCATCATGTGTGTGAAAAACAAATCGATATTGAAACCCTTTGTTGAAATGCTTTACATTTTCCATAGACCAGAACTAAAATAACCTGTTACACAATTAGCTACAAATATATCTCCACATATTTTGCCCATATACAGAATATTGTCTAAAATATGTCTGCTTTATAGAAGCAAGGCCCTGCTACCACTCTACTTGACTGAGTTCACAAATCTGTTGTAGCCTTTTGTTTCTGGACAGTTAATTCAAACCTCCTGCTGGGCCCGCCCTAGTGGCACAGCAGATTGGAGCCCAGCACTGTGGAGCTGCCGCAGCCACTGCAGCAAGAGTTCGATCCCCAGCTGGGGAGGAGATCCACATGGCTAGAAGACCTCTCCTGACCTGCCCACTGTCCCCCTCAGCAGTGTACTTCAGTGCCTCTGCCTGTTCTGCTCCTACTGTCTCTGGTGAATCCTTTCATTCCCCTGCTTCTGATCTGTACCCCAGTTCTATATGCATAAATAGATAACTCTTTAAAAAAAAAAAAATAAAACCTCCTGCTGCTGGAACCATCATAGCCACCTTGTTTTCATGTTTGACAAAGTATTGGTTTCCACCACCACAGGGGTCAGAATTTTTGCCTCCAAAGTTGCCTCCTTTCATGTGTCCCAAATCTAAAGGTTGTCGTTAATTGTCAAAACCATTGTTTTCACCACCTTCAAAATTGTTTCCACTGCTACAACCAAAGTTGCCTCCACCTCTTCCATTCTAGCAGCTGTCATGGCTGCCACTGCAGGCATAGATACTGTCCCAATTTCTGTGACCCTGTATACTGCGTCCATGACCTCTCTCCTCCAGAGTAACCAGGGATGCCTCCTTTATAACCACCACCACTATCAAGTCATCCACACTACCACCATTGAAGTTTCTTCCATGTACAAATTTGTTGTTCCCACCAAAACCACCTCTGCAACCACCACCAAAATCTCCAGAACCATTTTGTCCTCTCTCACTAGATGCAGCACTGACCATCATTTGCTTAGATGGGGCTTTCCTTACCTCATAGTTGTGGTCATTCAGAGTATGATTTTGCCAAATGATGGTCTTGACTATAGAATTGTGATCATCAAAAGTTACAGAAAAAGGCATGTGTCGTGGCTGCCTCAACATGTGATTTCATCACTTCAGTTACTGATCAAAATAATCTCTTGAGTGAGTTTCTTTAATTAAAAAAAAAAGATTTATTTATGCATATAAGAACTGGGGTACAGACCAGAGGTGCTGGTAGGGGGGCTTTGGTTGAGAGTATTCACTAGAGATAGAGCAGAACAGGCAGACTGACTGAAACACACTGCTGAGGGGAGCAGTGGGTGAGACAGAAGAGGTCTGCTGGGCCATGTGGGTCACCTCCCTTGTGGGGGGCTGAACTTGTGCTGCAGTGGCTGTGGACAGCTTCATAGTGCTGCCTTTAATCTTTGCACCACCTGGAGGCCCCAGTGTCTTTAATGCCACCAACAAAAATCTTTTTCACAGGTAAGTGGGCACCAGGTCTTTGATAATCTTTTGACACTACTCTTTTAGCTGCCACAATTCTCCCACACACCTTGTGTGGTCTTGCCTTTGTGGCTGCATCCAAATTCTCTGGAGTACCTGGTGTTTGGCTCTTTTTTTTTTTTTTAATTTTTATTTCTTTATGCATACAAGAACTAGCGTGTAAGCCAGAGGTGTGGGGGATGAGAGGATTCACCAGAGGCAGAGTAGGAAGCAGTACAGGCAGATCTACTGAAATACACTGCAGAAGGGGAGCACTGGATGAAGCAGGGGAGGTCTGCTGCTGTGTGGTTTAGTTCCTCAACAGGCGGTCAGTCTCAGGCTGCTGCATGGACCTTCATGGAGGTGCTGAGACTTAATTAACCCCAGGCTGTCATGAGTATTTCATATTTGATTTTAATAATTCTCTTGCAGCAGTGTGGTTAGGGAGCTACTAGAGGATGCAAAAGGGTAAGTAGATAATGTTTGTTGATGAGATAATTCTCAGTTGGCAATGATTTGATTGCTAGAAAGTTGTTTCATTTTTAGTTTTGTGTTTCTTTAATTATACCTGAGGTCTGACATGTTACATTTATTTGTGTATTGGTCTTTTATATTTTAACTGGCCATTAATATGCATGTTTTGTCCAGCAGTCTATAAGATTTTGACTGCTCGTTTTTCTTTTTCTAGTACCTCTCACTGCTACTCTGCATTCCTTCTCTGTTCACTTCATATGCACACATACAAAAATACTGATATCTCTTTACAATTTTTAATCTTTTTTCATTGCCAAAGGAATTTTATTGCAAACCTTTCAGTTAGATGTTTAAGGAGCTTGTCTTTTTACTGCTTTCCTACTTGTCTGTTCAAGATTATCTGGAAAAACTTTTGTTTTCCTCCTGTGTTTTGTTCCTGTTTTTACTTGGAATGCCCTTTTTATCTCTACTTGTCAAAATTCTATGGGTGTTTTTCAAAACCTGAAAATGCAAAACAGCAAAATTTTAACATTTATGAAATCTGGATGGTAGGTCTCTGTTTTTGGTATTACTTGTGTTCTGTCTGTATGTAAACTCTGTAGGTGCCCAAATAGTTATTAAACTGTTATTTATGGATTCTATAATTTTTTCCTTTATGTAGGGAAAAATGGACAACCAAGAATATAAAGATGCATACGAATTTGCTGCAGATGTTAGATTGATGTTCATGAACTGCTACAAATACAATCCTCCAGATCATGAAGTAGTCACCATGGCAAGAATGCTCCAGGTAGTTGTTGTGTACTGAGTGTGTTGTGTTTTTTTAAAGATTTATTTATTTATTTATTTATACATAGAAGAACTGGGGTATAGACCAGAGTTGCAGTGGGTGAGAGTATTCACCAGAGAGAATAGGGAGCAGTCAAGCAAATCTACAGAAATATAATGCTGAGGGGAGCATCAAGCAGGTCAGGAGAAGTGTGCCATGCCATGTGGGTCACCTCCCTGCCAGGGATAGAACTCATGCTGCAGTGGCTGTGGACAGCTTCATAATGCTGCATTTTAACCCCTTGCACCACTAGGGAGGGCCTGGCTGAGTGTATTTTTCTGAACAATAATTTAGAGATTTTAGAATCATAAAAAATAATGTCTGTGCCACCGCAATAATAATAAAAAAGTTTATAAATTATACTCTTAAAACTGAGAGGGAAGGGACAAATTATTTGGTGGCGTAGCATTCTGTGGTAACATTTTAAATTGAAGCTTCCCTGCTTATAGAGAATCCTGGTGAAAAGAAAAGAATCATTAACTGAACTCTGGTTGACTGGAGCACATGTCCCAGGAAAGGAAAGACTCAAGGATTTGAGGCTGAGCCATAGGGAGGTAGTAGAGAGATACACCAACTGCATCCCTTTATAACTTGAGAGTTCTGTCTTAGAAAAAGGGATAATTGCTAAGGTTACCAGGTAGAAAGCATGAATCTTACATTCTTCTGGTAAATCTTTTCCCCCAATTTTAGAGACATGTGACATGATACAAATTTGTATTACGTTTGAAGTAGGTACCATAATGGTTTGATACAGGAATATATTGTGAAATAATTTACCAAAATAAAATAGTAGAAATCTCATCAAAATATCAATATAGCAATGAAATGTACTTTTTCTTCCCACATTTGGCAGCCAGAGGGGAGGAGGGGCACAAAAAAAAAAAAAAAAAAGGAAGAAAGAAAAGAAAAGAAATATACTTTTTATCTTGTTATTAAAATGTGTTATTGTTACGTTATAGCAGAAATGTAGAATGCCTTAACAGTGATAATCTTCTATTATAGGATGTTTTTGAGATGCATTTTGCAAAAATTCCAGATGAACCTGATGAAAGTATGCCTGTGTATTGCACCAAAACAGACACCACCAAACCTTTAGATAGAGAAAGCAGTAGTGAAGCTTCCTCTGAAGACAATTCTTCCGGGGATTCTGAAGATGAACGTGTTCAGCGTCTTACAAAGCTTCAAGAACAGGTAGTTAATTGTACTGATGCAAGTTTTTATATTTGTTTGAGGAGCTACTGCTGCTGTATTATAAAAGTCATTTATCTACATTAAAAACTTAAATATTTTAGATAACTTTGTATTTGTGGCCTTATTTACTTACTGACAACAGTTTTAATGTTTAGTCTTTTCCTAGTCAAAAATCTTTATATCTTAAGTTTCTGTTAACTTATATGCCTAGCCACAATGAGTTGATTCTAACTGAAATGATTTATTGTACATAACGTGAGATATTTATGGATGAGAACTTTGACATCTGTTGCCTTTTAGGATAACGTGTTAACCTGCTCTGAACTCAAGCCAGAAGAATCGATGATTTAAATAAACACTTACAACAACCTGGAAATGTTAATTATTCTTGATCTGATTTAAGATAGATATTTAAGCATTTTGTTTGAGCATGTGATAGTGTTTGCAATTTAATTTGTGCCCATCATTGAATTTGTGAATTAGAGTAAGAACATGAAGGAAATGTTATATGTAATTAATTTCATCAGGGGTATTTTGAATGCCTTCATATTTTCAAGTGTCTGGTTATTTAGAACTATGAGTATTTAGAGAATGTTTCCTTTTTCAGCTTAAAGCTGTTCATCAACAACTACAAGTTCTGTCCCAGGTACCTTTCCGTAAGTTAAAGAAAAAAAATGAGAAGTCTAAAAGGGAAAAGAAAAAAGAAAAGGTTAATAACAGAGATGAAAATCCAAGGAAAAAGTTTAAGCAAATGAAATTAAAGGAAAAGCCCAAGGGCAAGTAAGTATCTTTCATGATGCATTATATAAAAATGTTATTACCTAAAGTAAATTTGACTAAATGTAATGTTTATTTTCATAAAACTAATATGTTACAGGCAGCCAAAGAAGAGAAAGCAACAGGTCACTGCTCTGAAACCTGAAGATAATGAAGATAATGCTAAACCTATGAACTATGATGAGAAAAGGCAGTTAAGTTTGGATATTAACAAACTCCCTGGAGATAAACTTGGGAGAGTTGTTCACATAATACAATCAAGAGAGCCTTCTCTGAGAAATTCCAATCCTGACGAGATAGAGATAGACTTTGAAACCCTGAAAGCATCAACACTGAGAGAACTTGAAAAATATGTGGCTGCATGTCTAAGAAAAAGACCACTAAAACCCCATGGTATGTATTTCTGTACATTAGGAGAAATCAGTCCAGTATTCATGTTAGTTGAGTTGTACTAACTCCTTTTTCCTTAATTATACAGCAAAGAAAGTAGTGAAATCCAAAGAAGAGCTACATTTGCTGAAAAAACAGGAGTTGGAAAAGCGCTTACTGGATGTCAATAATCAGTTAAATTCTAGAAAACGTCAAACAAAATGCAAGTGGCAGGTTTTTATTTTGTTGTTCCTGTGACTGTTGAATTCTGTTGTTATTTTAATGTATTTTTGCCTATTTTATAGGTGAGAAAACTCAACCACCCAAGACCATGGCCGTGGCAAGTGGTTCCCGACTGAGTGAGAGCAGCAGCAGCAGCAGCAGCAGCAGCAGCAGCAGCAGCAGCTCAGACTCTGAGAGCAGCAGCAGTGATTCGAGTTCCTCCGACAGCAGTGATTCTGAATCAGGTTAGCTGCCCCCTTACGTACGCTTCTGTTTGTGGGAGGATTCTCTCCTTGTAATAGCGAGACTTAATCTTGAAGTGCTTGTTAGTTACCCAGACTCCAGTTTGGATGCCACACGTTCTGAATTGCATGTTGACAGTATTACTGTTTTTCTTGAGAGATGCTGTGTAAAATGAAACTTCATATTATACACATGTCACTTACAGGCTTGTAATGTTGAACGTAAGTTTACTAAAGGTGGGATAGTTTCAATAATAAATGCCAGAATATATCAAATAGTAAAATGCTGATCTCCACTTCTTTTTATGAAATAAAAGGTTATTTGAGGACACGTTTCACTTACTCTCCATGTTATAGCAAATCACTCTAATGTTGGAAATGTTTCCTGTTGTGGCAATATATTCTAAAAACAAGTAATTATTTTTAATTAAGCCAGTCATTCCAGAAAGTGTAAAGCAGTTGGTTTTTGGTTTTTTTTTACTTCTGTGGTTTCTTCATAGCAGAATATTACCTTCCTTTCATAGAAAAATGTACTTGAAATTCAGGTTCTCAGTTATGCCAAAATACCATATTAACTCCATAGTGTATCACAGCCTTGTCAAGCATAACTCATTCATTTTCCTTTGTGCTCTTTCTTTGATGGTTTTATAGTTGACCACTTATCACTGCCTCAAGTTGCTGACTTGGCAGTGGCATTTCATCATTGATTACCAAAAGGCAAAATCAGAATATTGGGTCCTTTTGTGCCTAAAATTTTGCTTTATTTTTTATGGGATGTTTCTTGTTTGTCATGAATTTCATTTATCTTTCTAAAGAGAAATATTCCCGCATAGAATATTGTCACAGCAGGAATCCTTACCATTCGTAAGAGTATCCCTTCTTATGTCACTTGTAGTAAGGGACTTCTTGCTTGCAGTATTTCTCACTGTGGGTTCTGTTTAGTTTGTATGCATGTGGTTCTGATTGCTGCCTTTTGTTTTTTTACATTTTTCTTTAGTACATAGTGGTAAACATTTTTGTTAGAATAAAAAGAAGTAATTTTTACTTTTGTTGGAATTTGTCATACTAGAAAATTTTTTAATTTAGGGCTTTGATTATACATTGTTTCCTTATATTTGACTTTTAAACATACTATTGGAAAAACAAGTTGCATTTAGTATTTTAAATTGTATTTAGCATTTGTGATTTCATCTAATAAAGCATTTGTGGTGTAATAAGTTAGAGCACCTTGTCTTTTATTTGTAGGCTAAAACTTTAATCATAGTGTTAGTTTGAATTATCTAATTATATATTGATTATTGATCAATAAATGCTTTGAGTACTACAGGGAAATTACCACTAAAGCATAAAGTATTTTAATAAGTAACTTAAATTTCATTAGAGTTAATAGTTTCTGAAAGAATCCCCTAAATGTTGCTTTAAGGAAAGAATGTTTAATCACGCACTCTGTGCCCTTAAAATGTCTAGCAGAATAACTACTTCAGGATTCTAATCGTAAAGTACTATTGAATTTTATTTCATGACTGACATTTTTGTTTAATGTCATGTTTTTCAAGTAGTGGGCTGTTTTTAAAAGCATTATAGTTAAAAGTAGCAGTTTTTAAAATTTCAGCCCACATTATGGATGGATAATGTGTAGATTTGTAGCACTAAAGTAAATTTGTCTTCTAACAGGATATGAAGTATCCTTTATCTTTGAAATTTTAGTACTTTTGTAACTATTCAAGTTATCATCCTCATTGGAAAAACAATATAATGTATGCTATAATTTGTAAGTGTAGTGCCTGATGTAATAAGGAAAAGACAGGTTTTTTAAAATTAAACTAACAGATGATGTAATAGCATCATTTATCATAAATATTAAGTTCTCATTAAAATGCTTCAAAAATCATAACTTTTAATGTGTAAACTAAGAATTCTTTTTACTTTACTGAGAACAATAAATAAAAAGAATTTTAAACTGAAAAATGTCTAAGTCAGATTATGACACTAGCAGTATCTACTGAAAGATTAAGTAAAGCATCTATTCTTAATTATTCGCATGACTTTCTGAAGGGGCAGATGACAGATCCCAAATCTAAAGTTTTAGGTTAGGGATAAATGAACCATTTTCTGAGAAAATGAAATGTGAAAATTAGATATATTAGCAAAAATTTTATGTTAGTAAAAATACCTGAAAATTAAGATTTTTTTTAGATTTAAAACTTACCAAGACTTGTACAGACTGAAATTTACAGTAATGTTTTGATTCCTAGAACTCTGGTTAAGAAAGCAGTTGATTATTCAAGATAATACCTGTGAATATAATTTCATTCCTTCAAATACTTACCAGAGGAAACCTTTCTGGAAGCTTCTGTGAAAAATGCTTTTTTTGATAGGATATGGAACTTTAGTAAATTTTTCTTAATCTATTTTATAATGCCTGTCTTCCTAAATTTTATGACAACTTAACAAGGTATAATTTTCTTAACCAATCTCAGACTTTTATAATTTTGTTTATAAGGAACAGAGCTCTAAAATAACTTTACTAAATTCATTAATATCATTAACTCTTACGTTTTTATTGTTATCCTATATTGTGAGTTGATCTCTTTTTACTAAAATATCATTCTGTTTAGATGTGCCAAAATATTTTAAGAGTAGAGCTGTAACAAATATTTAAGTATTATAAATGGTGTTAGAGCTATTTATCCTACATTACTTAAAATCAATTTCTATGTATTTCAGATCTTATTTTATGAACTTTTGACAAACATGGACTTAACTCTGGTTTTTTAAATAGAATTTAGGTGGCAAAGAGTGATTTCCAAGAAAAGTTACATTTAAAAGATCTATTATTTCAGACAAGCTATAAATCAATGCTAAGATAGAATTGTAGTAAAACACCATACCTTCGAAAAATAAAAATGAGGAATCTATAGACTAGGTGTACTTCACTTTAAATTCCAAAGTGATTTGATTTTATCATTTATCTTCCTGACTGATAATAGCATATGAAGATTATCATGTGCAGGTAAATCAAGAGTGTTTATTAAACATTGGTGTAAGTGTAAACTATTTTAAAACTATTTTTTGTTACCAACAAGTTATTATGAAATGTCAGGTCAAAGACATACACGAGGCTTGACAATGAAATGAATACCCTGTGGGTAACACCGTTGGTTAGCGAGGCTTTGCTCTTACACACATGAGTTGCTAACTGTTGAGTTTCTATTGTTCAGCAGCATTGAGGCTACAGTGAGTAATATAACAAGGAAGAATACAATTAGCTTTAATCTTGTGGCTAATAATATGGCTGAAAAATCAAGCAGCTCATCTGCAGTAGTGCTTTTGATTGAAACCTCCAGGAACTATATAAATGTAAGCACATATTCTTGATTAGTACGGGATAGAATATTTTGCAGAGATGTTTATCATTTCAGCGGTTAAATTATTACACACAAAGAAGCTCAACGCTTATGGTGTCAGTTCTTAGCTGGTTAAGACAGTGGATTTGTCCCTTCATCTGTTGGACCTTTTGCTTTTATAGGGTTCAATGTAATGTGCAGAGAGTGACACTTATTACATTCTTTAATAATTGCTCCGTCTTTTAACTTTCTTAGTTATGGGTAACTTCAAAATAAGAATAGAGTAACAATTTCTCTTTTGGTGCGAAAACCTAGGTTTTCTGTTGAAGTGACAGGATGTGGGTTTTTGTTTTTGTTTTCATGCAAGGTTAAAAGGACAAACTTGGTTCAAGTCTAGATTTTGTTTTACCACCAGAGAAGGTGCTTTAGTAAATATAGGAAGTGCAGAATGACAATTTTGGAGTAGTCTTAGTCATTCAAACCAGAAGACGATTCAGTGTCTATAATTTTAAGTTTTTGAAACTTTTATTAGTTTCTCATCAATTGAAATGTTTTTAAAGCAAAAAAAAAAAAAAAAAGAGGATAAATTTGGTCCAAGCTTGATTAAACACTTGTATATATTAAAATCTGTACTGGAACCTTGGGTCTTAGAAATAATGATAAATTTTGTCTTATACATTGAGAAAATTTCAAATTGAATCTCCCTAAATAAAAAGGCAATCTTGGACAGTTTCTCACCTGTGGCACTACATTATAATCACCTCTAAAAACTTAAAATAGTGTACATCTGAATGGGGCCAGGTATACATAGTTCAGAGTATCCCATGTGAATGTGTGCTGTCCTCTTTGAAAAGCATGTGTTTACGATTTTTGTTTGATTCTTTTCCCTACAGTCTAGTCAGGTTTAAATAAACTAGGTAAAAGGAATGGGTTATCTATAAGTGGTTTGTTCTACTTTAAAAATCAGTATCAAACACTTCAGAGAAAATTGCCTAAGTATTTTTTTAATGGAGCAAACTTTTTTATATTAAAAGCAAATTGCTTGATTTTTGTCTATAGAACATGGCTTAGGTGATAAATTAACATCACCTAATAGCTTAGGAGTAGAGTAACACTTTAAAAAAAAAAAGATTTATTTATTTATGCATACAAGGACTGGCTGGGATGCAGGCCAGAGGTGGGGAGGGGGTGGGGGAATAAGAGGATTCACCAGAGACAGTGAGGACCAGGACAGGCAGATCAACTGAAATACAATGCTGAAGGGAGCATCAGTTGAGACAGGAGAGGTCTGCTATGCCTTGTGGGTCAGCTCCCTGGTCAGGGATGGAAATCATGCCTGCAGTTGAAATCATGCTGTGGTGGCTGGTGATAGCTTAGTAGCACTGACATTAACCAGGGAGGCCCAAGTAGTAAAAATTCTTTCCTATTTAAAATAAGGTAGCAGAATAAGGTAGAGATTTCTAATCACTTTTCTATAAATTTGTTTTACATAATGGAAGTGTGATTTATTTTCTAACTTAAGAATCTTCAGTAATTGTTCTTGCTTGATATGTGGCATTACATTTTGGTTTTACATTGTGAATATATTTTTGTTTGGCTTATGGAGTTTTGAAGTCCATATTGGCTTGTTGATAACATTTGATATCTCTGGAGCATTGATCCCAGTGATTTAATCAAATACATGATTCCAGTACTTTTCTCTTTAGATGATTAATATTTTTGCTAGTTCAAAATCAAAACTTCCAATCAGTTTTATATATATATATTTTTGGGGGGGGATACGGAAAGAGAACATACTAAAGAATGTGCATAATATGGATTTGTCTAGTAGTTTATGTGTATTACCCAATTTTATCCACATAAGGTAGGTATGTTGTAATCACAGTTTCCTGGAGAAATTAGTTGCCGCTATTTGTATATATACTCCAGAGCACAATTTAGCTAATGTTATTAGGGACCTGGTAAGGTTTTTTTCACCAATTGAAATGTTATATTAAGCTTTATAGTAAAAATGTACATGTTTGAATTTTTATTTCAAAGGCCAAGATACCATAAGTAAACAGAAATACGCAGTTTTATTTTACTATGTTCCTGGAAAGTGAGCTACGTAAGACTCAAATGAGAAGCAAAATATTAAGTTACAGGCTTAGTATTATTCATTACTAATATAGCTAATATATAATGAGTATAGCTGTCATTTTTCACCCAGCTACATAGTTTATAAGACTTTTATTATGATACATACAATATAGGTGGTTTGGTTCTTTCTGTAAATTAGAATTCATTGATGGCTTTGCTAATATCTTCAGCTTTTCAAGTGCTAATTTTTATAATAATTCTAAATTTGTTTTATATGTCAGAAAACAAAGATAAATCCTTGACTATTTTAACAGAACACTTACATGGTATGTCATACTTTTATTATACGTAAGAGTTTATGTTGTAGAATAATATAGTTTAGGTGCATATTTGAATAATTGATAGATATATAGATGTGCATATATTTTATGATCATATTAATGAGGTCTTTTTTAATTCAAAGCTAAAAATCATAACTTTTCCTTAAATGTGAAAGCTGCCTGAATCTGTATTCTCAATCTTTGTAGACTGTCTTCTTCCCTTACTTTTCCACCTAACGCTTGACACTTAAAATAATATTTAGTGGAGTGACATTAAGATGGTTCGTGTCATTTTAAATACTTGAATTCTTTAAATTAAAGCACGTCATTGAGTGGCATTTAGCAATTTTAACAATGTCCAGCATCAAACACCTTAGGAGAGGAAAGAACAGTAACACATCCAATGGAAACTGATGGCATTTCAGGAGGCAGAAGGTAATTATTAAAATTAGAATATTTTAAGTTTGAATAAGATTTGGTGTTGACCAGCCTTGGTGCACTAGAACCTGAAGCAAATAATGCTTGCGTGGTTCATGAAAAACTAGCCTGAAGAGATGGGTCAAGGCATTAATTACCAATTTGGTGCTTTGCTGCACTGACTAGGCTGTGATTTGGGAGGTTAGTACCAGAATCAATTATAGGATAAAGAACAAGGAACAGAATTAGCCCTTTCACAGAGAGGTCTCTGTTTATATCTACTTATACCTCCATTGTCAACTATAAAGGCATTTTTAAAGGAAAAGAATTACTATAAACTCATTTGTTACTATATAGTTGTGGTTGCCAAATAGTTTAGAAGTAATTAGAATATTTATTAGATGGGTTCTTTATTATTACTGCTTAGCAAGCAAAAGCAGATGTTATCACAAAATCAGATTGCTTCACTTTTTAATAAGACTTATCTACTCGGATAATGACTACCCTTCTCTTATAATAACTTCTTAATTGTTTTAAGCCTCTTATGGCTATATTTATGGCTGCCTGATAGAAGATTATTGTAGTAGAGTTCGTACTGCATGTTCAACTTGTTATCTCTGTTGTGACTTGTTCTTTTTGAAACTATCACTTATCCAAGTTCTCTACTGTGAAGTAACACACTGTTCTTTTTTTGCCTATATAATCCAAATTGAAATTCATGAGTGGATATTTATTCCATTATGCCCTTTAAGTTTTGACTGACTCAAAGAGGGCAAAACCTGGTAACTAAGGATTTCTTAATTGAAGAGGTTGGTAGTAAAGGCATTTCCTTGAAATCACCATTTTCTAATATAATTTATTTTGTAACTTAGATGGTAATTTTTAAGCTAACAAATTCTGAAATACTTATTTATATACATTTACAGAAGTGTTTCCTAAATTTACTGGAGTAAAACAGAATGATTCTCCTAAAGAGAATATAAAGGTAAGTTATTTCATCATTTTACCTTAAAATTTTTATATAAAAAATTTTAATTAGTATACAGTAACTTTCTTTAAAATAATTACAGTAACTTTCTTACATGATAAATGGTTTTCACTCTTTTTGTCAGTTACCTGTTTTGAAAATTATTTCCCTGAAGAAAATAAGATAGAGAAGCTATTTGGTTTCCTTTTCCTTACAAGATACAATTGTTTTCTTAGTCAAGCAGAGCTAGAACAAATTATAGCTACTTCAGCTTAGCCTTACAGTTTAACTAGAGGGAGACAGGGGGACAATTTTAATATTCTCATGTGCCTGTATGAGGTGGAATTTTTCCCCCAAAAAAGAAAAAAAAGGTTAATAGGGAAATGAACTTTTATAAAGTTAAAGCTTAAATCATCACCTACTATTAACTGTAGCATATTGCTTGGAGCATAGCAGTAATTTTGTCTTTTACTAATTTAGTTCATCATGCCCATATAAAACACTATCTACCCAAATATAGAACTATAATAATTTTATTTGATATTATCTAATTTAGTTAGGGGAATACAACATAAATAACACTGTCTTGAAGGAGCTCTAAGTTTGGAGAGGAAATATAATTATTTGGTTAAGAAATTATATGATTAGTATTATAGTTTATTGAGAAAATGAAAAGAAATATATGTGTGTGTATGTGTGTATATATATGTATATGTATATATATATGTATGTGTATATATATATATATAAAGCCACACACTTCCTGAAGGAGAGGGAATGCTTAAAATGGGCCTGAAATGTACAGAAAAAGGGAAGAAATTATTAGTATATTGCCTAGGGATTAGGGACTTATTTTTTAATATACTAAGGATCAGGGACTTATTTTTTAAAACAGTTAGTAGCATGAAGGGGGGAAGCACAGAAGTGTCTTCAGGTAAATATGGAAGCAGAGTGTATTTGTAATGGGCAAGATAGCTTGGGAGATATACACAGAGGTCTTTGAATACTTAGTGAAATGCTAATATTTAATTGGGTAGAAGTGAACTATCAAAAGCTGAAGCTTTTGAGTAGGCAGGAGACTGCCCTGTACATATTATTGGAATCAGGAAATTATGTCAAATTGTGCATGAACTTTGGAAGCATTCCCAATATATAACATGTAGAATGCTTACTTAGGAGCAATTTGTAGCCAAATGTTTTACAGAGGTTACTGTATATATTGCCATGGACAGATGCATGTATTTTTGAATTTCAGAAAGCTATTTTTGTTAACTTAAACCTCAGCATTTGACTTTGAACTTTGAGATTGGGTGTATATTATTTTGGGGACAAACATTTCTATGTTTATCCATTATCTATTAAATGGAAAATTCCAAGCTAGCATAGGCATTCATTCACTTTTATCTACTTATTCAAGAGCCATTATTAGACAAAGGGAAAAAATTGTCATATTCATCTCAGTACTGCCTGCTATTTAAAATTCAGGAGATAAGGTACCTGGACTTTGTACTATAACTTAACTTGCTACTGAATAGATGTGAGGTTTTAGGTAAGTTTCTTTTGTTATTTCTAAGACCTATTGTAAACTCTAAATGGGGATAATCCATAGAATAATTGGGAAAGTTAAGGAAGATAATATAAAGGGCTTAGTCTGGTGCCTTGCACATAATCGACATTAGATTTATAACATATTTTTTTTATTTTATTAATTTTAGATTTACAATATTTAAATTAGCTGTTTTACTTCATAGTTAACTAGATACTGAATCAAAATTTGATGGTAGTTGTATGGATGAAGAATCATGGGATATTTTGGGCCCTCCCTAGTGGTACACTGGGTTAAAGCTCAGCAGTATGAAGCTGTCCGCAGCCACTGCAGCATGAGTTTGATGCCAGGGTCCAGGAGATCCACATGGCGCAGCAGACCTCTCATGACTCACATGCTGCTCTCCTCAGCAGTGTATTTTAGTCAGTCTGCCTGTCCTGTTCCTCACTCTGCCTCTGGTGAATCCTCTTATCCCCTGCACCTCCAGCCTATACCCCAGTTCTTGTATGCATAAATAAATAAATCTTAAAAAGAAAGAATCGTGATTTTTTTAACATCTCCTCCCAATGTCTACAATTCAAATAGGAGAAAAGGGATAAAGAAAAATAGGTTAGCCCTCCCTGGTGGCGCAGAGGGTTAAAGCACAGCACTAAGAAGCTAAAGCCATTTCCACATGAATTCAATCCCTGCCTGCCCTGGAGGTGACCACATGGCATGACTGACCTCTCCTGACCTGCCTGCTGCTCCCCTCAGCAGTGTATTTCATCAATCTGCCTGTTCTGCTCCCCACTCTGTCTCTGGTGAATCCTCTCACCCTCCGCATCTCTGGCCTGTACCCCAGTTCTGTATGAATAAATAAATAAAAACTCTTTAAAAAAAAAGAAAAAAAATAGATTAGTCTCTAGATTTAGTGTAAAACTTAGTCTTTATTCAGTAACTCACAGGAAAACAATTTAAATAGCTGAAACATAAGTTTATGTCTACTACTGAAACTACTGAAATACTACTGAAAAGAACTGAAATATAAGTCTGTGTCTACTACTCATGTAACTTTGGCCAGGTTACTTAACCTTTTTCAACCTTAGTTTTTTCATTTGTAAGACAGTGATAATTGTAATTTTGTATAACTTAATATATTTGAAAGACAATATAAAACCATATTCCATCTAATTTTTGTTTTCTTAGTTATAGTTCTTGTATGGTTAAAACGCTGAAAGTAATTTTTATCAATATGTTGAGTTTTAGTGGTACATACCTGAAATTTATCTTATAAATGCAGTGTTACTTCACTTAACAAACATCTCTGAAAGGTAATTTTATTTGACTTTGTTTTAGCAGATACAATCTTCTATACAAGATACAAGTACTGTGAAAACTACCCTTATATATCAGACTGCACATTTATGTGGGGAACCACCAAATCACCTTCAGCTAGCATGTAATCAAGAATCTGAACATTTGCAAAATGTGAAAAACATAACACCTTTACAAAGTCTGCCTCCTTCAGGTAAGAAATTAACAAGTAAATGATTATATTCAGGAACTTAAATTTATCTATGAAAATTCTGTAACCATCTTAAAAAGTTGCATGTTTGGGAGACTGAAAATTTTAACTAGTAAATTCCAGGTTAGAAATAATCACACGTTGTTCAAACTTACTTGCTTTATGCCCAGAGATACTCATTTTTGAATTAGAAAATTTGTACAGCTATTTCCATGTAGATTATATACATTGGCAATTAAACCTTATATAAAAACCCTGTGTTTGACTAAATTTTTACGTTAGATTCCTTTGACTTTATAATAAATAAATCTTTTTGATAATCTTACGTGATGGCGCTGTCTATCAAAACTGAGGATGTATGGCCTAAGGATTCTTACCTGATACTGATGAGCTTAGCTACTGAGCTCCTTGAGATACTAGTATATTCAGGCCTATACTAGAGGCAAATGTGAATATTCTCTATCCATGTCTCCTCCTCTTTAGGCTGTTTTCTGGTTCCCACTTGGCCTTTCAAGGGCAGAGATTTCGCCAAGGCAGAAGAAATTTCTGAGCTGTATTAATGCAGCACAGATTAAGAGAAACATTGAATTGTGATCTCCCTCTGTTGCTTCCAATGAAAGTACCCTACTGTTCAGCGTTTGCATATCCCATTTTGTATTTAACTTGAGCTGTAGTTCTTTATTGTGAAGAAGGAAGTGGAAATCAAAAAAGAAATTACCTAAAGCAACACTGGAAGGCAACTATGAAGAATAAACAAAAATTCAAAGTATTAAATACTTAATGTGCATCCTTTTCTGAAAACATTTTCTAGATACTTAGAGAATAACATAGGATATGTAGCAGTTCTAGGTCATGAATTGTCTTGAATACCAGTGCTACATTTGAATCTTTTTTACATGATAAATATCTTCAAATAAGAGCATGATGCAAACAGATTTTATACTTGAAAAAGTTGGCTGTTTACTATATAGATCATAGATTAAGATGAACATACTTTCATGTAGTTGGGACCAAGTAAAGAAACTTAGTGCTATAGCTTAGGAAAGAAATCATGAGGACCAGAACAAAAGCAATAAGTATAGGAATGATGTAGATAAATTAGACATTTTTATAGCAGAGTTGATAGATTTTATTAGAATGAATGTCTTTTACTCTAAGGTATATGATAGTTGAGCTGAGAATAAAAGGCAGTTATTTAAGACATGTTGGAGCAACAAAGGAATATCTGTTGAATATCTAATTGAAAACATACTACTAGAAATAGCTTTCTTACGGGGTGTAACAAAATTTTTAATTTTGGAATTACCAGTATATACAAGATGATATTTGAAGCTTGTAGAATGAATGAAAACACCCAGGAAAATGTGTAGAGTAGAAAGAAAAAGGTCAGGGACAAATTCTAGGAAACAGAAATTCCTCAATAAAAGTAGGGAAAATTAATAGGCTAAAAAACAAAAACAAGCGAAGGAAAAGGATATACTTGAGGTCAACTAAGGTAAGCGCATTAGAAACTAATCACCAAGAATACAGAGTGTACTTAGAGTGTAAAATGGAACAAAGAGAAAGGTTTAAATTGGCAATGTAAAAAGCTTTTGCAAAAGATTTTTTAATATTCATTGTGATTGTAGCAGGAGCTAGATGGTTTTAAATTGAGAATTGTGAAATCTGAGTGTAAACTATTCTTTTAAGAACTTTGTTGGAAAGAATGGAAAGATGGTGATAGCTTTAAGAGGAATGAAGGCTGTGTTTCTTGGACTGAAAGAGGTATTTTGAATCAGATATTGAATGTGCTTGTTCTGAAAGTCACTCTGAAAGAACTAGGGAAAGCTTGCAGTTTTCATTATAGCACTTAATAGAAAAATGGTTAAGGATACCATGGAAATGGAATAAAGGCAATTGAAAACTGTAGTTGTGACGATACTTCATTTTTAAAACACCATCTATGAAAAACCAGGCTTGAAATACTTCAATCTTCAGTCAAGCCTAATTTATTGTATTATTTCAATTTCTATTTGTATGTTGCTTGTGAGTTACTAAATAGTGTAAAGGTTCTGCATTTACTGTTTTCCTGAACCAAAGTGGTTTGCACTTGCTAACTGTAGGTGGCACTATGCCCAAGTGAAACTGAATGTGTGTAACCTCAAAAAGGTTCTACATAGAATTTTAGTCTGGTTGCGATTTAAAGTAGATTTTAAGAAGCTGAATTTCTAAGTGCTGTCAGTTTCTTAAAAAAAAAAACCTTGCCATTACCGCCACATGAACTGGAAGATGTCTAATTTTTTTCATTGAAATAAATTTAAGTTTTTAGTCACAAAAGATTCTTAACCTTAACTTACAATTACCCTTTTCCTCATAAAATTCTATACTCAATTATATTAAGAACTTTAAAAAAAAAAAAACACCAAAAACTTATGCTGTAGTATCCTGTGAATTAACATGCCAAATGAGAATGTAAATCAAGGCATTTACCCCTTGTTGGAGAAACCTATAACTGCCATATAAGTAAAATTAAAATAAATCTTAAGTCTGAGGAAAGATGAATTTTGAAGTGTCATGTCATCATCCAGATAAAAATGATTTTCAGAGATTTGATTCTTTACACATATCTCAGACTTACACGTTTCCCTTGAACACTCCATCTCTTTGAATGTTGCTAATGGATATCTCTAGCTGCCTACTTTTAAATGTTTGTAATAATCTGAGTTACATCCTTAAGCCTATTTTTCCTTTTCCAGGGACTTCCAGCCATTTTCCAAAGTATAGCTCATTAAGCTAGTGATCAGCTGTCACCTCAGTAGGATTGGAGCAGCTTTCCCACTTAGCAACATACCATGCTTTGGGTGGTAATCTGCTCATCCTTCTGGGGTAATACCTGGGGTCTGACTTCTAATCTCATTTGCATCCCCAGGGTCCAACTGTGCTGAACATCTTTCATACACATCACAGTCATGCCAAAACACAGTACATTTTAACTGAAATTTCTCTTTTTTGCATCCCCACACAGACTTTTAATGGCGTCTTAATAATGGCACTGCCGCCCTTGCGTGCGGTAAGGACACCAAGGCTAACAAAAAGCCGCTTTATTATCCTGGCACTTGACTCAGCGGATTTGCACTCACTCCAAAGACTGAGTGCGCTGTCCAGAAATTGATGAGTTTATATACATTTCAGCTTGGCTGGGGGGGCTATTTTGTAACTGTTTAAGGTCAGAGGTGATATGAATTACAGTCCCAGAAATAATAGAGCACATTGCTTATCACAGGACCCCAGCTGCCCTGCTCATTGAGTACCTTGCTTCACCACCTCTTTCCAACTAAGAGTAAGAAAACTGGAAGCCATCTACACTTTTCTTTGTACTTCTCAAATAATTTTAGCCCAAATCAGAAAGTAATTTAATGCTGTACTTAAAGCTCCTTGTTTGTTGAAGTGAGAAAATATAGATACACTGAACCCACTAGGGACATAGATCAGTAATTTTAAATGTCATAATTTTAAATTTCATTCTTGGCATCCTTTGGCAGTGCTTTGTCTCATCCTCCTTAGTGTTCCTCTCTTCTTTAAGCCTCAGCTTCAACTAGTGTAATGTAGCCAGAGAATTAGGGTATCAGGAGGCTTCATGGGTGATAGAAGTAGAATTGTTAAGTTCCTACCATATATAAGTGGCAGGATTTTGTGAACTTGATTCAGTCAACAAAAATACCTACCTTGTTCTCATGTGTCCCTTTTGTCTTTTTGCCATATACATACATACTAGACCCAGAGAGGATTGAAATCTAAATGACTCAATCAGGTTTTATGCAACGGGATAGACTTAGTGACAAATGACAGAAAACTGAGCTCAAATTGGCATAAACAGTAAGGAATTTGTTAGCTTGCATAACCAGGAGGCCGAAGATAGGTCACCTATTGTAGGCATAGTTTGACAAAGGCCTAAACTCTCTTCCAGTAGTTCTTTTGCCCATAATTAATGAAATAATACTATGAAAGCTGAGCAATTAACAGGGTTGCATAGTTCTCTTATCTCAGTCAACCAACTTACTGAGTTTTTACTCATCTCTTTACTACTAACACAGGTGTCCAGTATTTTAGTTCTTCCATTTTTTGGTATGTTTTCATTCTCAATTTACTACTAGTCAGCCTCTTTCCCTAGGTACCCTACACTGGCTGAGAACTGCTCTTGAATGCTATCACTAGTGTATGGGTAGAATTACTGTGATTGGTTTGTTTTAATCAAGAGTCATACATGGAGCTGAGGTCAGTCTACACAGTGGAGCACTGTTAGATACACAGTATCTGCTAGTCTAATACTTAATGAGGTATAAGAAAAATAATGGGGCTGTTTTTTGCTTTACAAACAGACAGCTGGTAATCTTAAAATGTTTTCCACCTTTCCATACCCACAAACAACAGATGGACTTTGAATGCACAACAATGTATCAGTTATGTAACTATGGGTACCTGACAGAATAAAGGGGACTAGAAAGCTTAGTTGGCTGTTTTCAGTCTCTCTCCCTGCCTCTCTGTGTATATGGACTCTTTCAGGATTAAAGATGTATCCAGGTACACCTGAGGCTCCAAGATTCTTCCCTTTGCCCAAATTGACAAACAATCTGCTTGGCCTGGGATGATTACAAGTGGGGAGGGTGGGCAGGGGAGTTAGATAATCAAGTATAAAATGTCTATTTTACTGTGTAACAATTCCACAACTAAGAATACCCGGATAAGAAGTATCACAGATTTGTCATTCTGTATGGTATAGTTTTTAAGCTACAGGGACTAAGGGGAAAAGTCAAATTGACAAGAGGCAAAATGAAATCTTGATTATGCTGTTATAAAAATGTGTGCATCTAGGTGATTCTGGACAACATTTGAATAACCAAACTGTGACACAATCATCTTGTGACAATGATACAATGGTGCTAGAATCTGAACGTCAAGCTCCTGTGCAGAAAGTAAGAGTAATGTTATTGTTTCCTCACAAATACTAAGGGGACTTAATTAAAATTGAACATGATATGGCATACAGGTATTTTAAGATATACTTTCATTGGGGCACACTGAACTACACTTTCGTTTATGTCTTTTAAGAACTGGTCGCGACCAGTTAATTTTTTTCTTTTTACCAAAGAGAGGAAGGACTTAATTATCTCTTGAGGGTTCTCAGCAAATAGTGTGCCATTATTATGGTATCATCTTACCTTGCCTCGTTAATTATTTGTATATCTTCTCTAGAGGAAGTAGGATTCCTCTAAGATAAAAATCTTACCACTTTAATTATATTTCTTGAAGATACATATTTTATATTAAATTGAGGTAATTTATGAATATGCTATTTCAACTTGATCTTAAATGAACAATTGAGTTTAGATCATATTTTCATGTTTTTTCTGACTTTAATACTCAAGTCTAGTAAAATACAAAGCCTTTGGAATTTTTAATTCAATCATTTATCCATTACTGTGTCAAAAATAACTTTTTCCTCTCAAATTTGGTTCTTTTCTATAAATGTAGAGTGAATTAATTATTTGTTTTAGGATATAAAGATCAAGAATGCAGAATCCTGGAAAAGTTTAGGCAAGCCGGTCAAAACACCAGGTGTATTAAAATCCTCAGATGAGCTCTTCAACCAATTTAGAAAGGCAGCAATAGAGAAGGAAGTAAAAGCTCGAACACAGGAACTAATACGGAAACACCTGGAACAGAATACTAAGGAACCAAAAGTATTTCAAGAAAACCAGAGGTCTGTAATATTTTAAGTGTTTATGATTCAGTTGTCTAATAGAACAGAGCACATTTTGATTAGAAAGAATAAATTTCCATTGATGTATTTTATTGATAAGAAGTAGCATCTGCTTTGAAGATGACAGAAATAATTAAGTAATTAATCTATTAAAGGCACTAATATTGAGAGACTAATAGAACAATACTGATAAAGGAAGATTATTTCAGGTTTGAGATTTGCAATGACTCCACCTTATGATGATGATTAATATTAACTATATTGTAATGAAAACATGATTATTTTTTAGAGATGTCTTAATGTTGTTTACAATCTCTACGTAAAAGGATTGTGACATACCTTGGTTAGTTTTTACTTTGTAGGTTGTACTATTAATGTAGGTTACAATTAAGGTTATTCTACATAAAAATTTACTTTAAAAATAGTAATTACATATGAAAAAGGAAGATATCTAGCATATTTCTTTGTCATTTAACAGATTATCTTGGTATCACAAACTTGAAAAGCTTAATCTGAGCAATTCTTTTTTTATTTTTTAAGGGAACCTGGCTTCACTCTAGAATCATTTTCAAATAAAATGCAAAATAAGTGCCTTGGAGAAGAGCAGAAAGAGCATCAGCAGTCATTGGAAACTCAAGATAAATGCAAACTGTGGCTTCTCAAAGACCGTAATTTAGCAAGGGAGAAAGAGCAAGAGCGGAGGAGGAGAGAAGCAGTAAGTGATTTTTTTTCTTTACTAAATTTAATAAAGATTTAAGCAGTAACTTCTGCATACTGAAAGGTATATTCAGGTGGTTTTTCAGTGACAATGGAGTTAGCTCTTTCATGAGGATTAGGTTCTGCAATCAGAATCTAAAATAAAAATTTCATAATCACAAGACAATCTTCTTTTTTAACTTTTTTTTTTTTAAGGTTTATTTGTGCACACAGAACTGGGGTACAGGCCAGAGGCTCAGGGGCGGCGAGAGGCTTCACCAGAGACAGAGTGGGGAGCAGAACAGGCAGATCAACGAAGTACACTGCTGAGGGGAGCAGCGGGCGGGTCAGGAGAGGTCTGCCACGCCATGTGGTCACCTCCGGGGCAAGCGGGAATCGAACTCATGCTGCAGTGGCTTTAGCTTCTCAGTGCTGTGCTTTAACCCGCTGCACCACCAGGGAGGGCCTCTTTTTAAACATTTTTTAAAAAAAAATTTTACTTGTTTATACATACAGAACTCTGGGATACAGGCCAGAGATGTAGGGGCGGTGAGAACATTCACCATAGTCAGAGTAGGAAGCAGAGCAGGCAGATTGAGGAAGTACACTGCTGAGGGGAGCAGCGGGCAGGTCAGGAGAGGTCTGCTGTGCCACGTGGGTGAGCGCCCAGGTGGCTGGAACTCACACCAAAGCGGCTGTGGCCAGCTTCGCAGTGCTGCACTTAAACCTACTGTGCCACCAGGGAGGGCCTCTTCTTAAAATTTTTAAATAAAAAAAATAATAATAATAAAAATTTTAAATGTTAAAAATTATTGAAAGCTGACCACAGAACTAAAACATAGCAGGAGTGTGGGGAGAGAAAGGTTGGAGAGGAATAAGAAGAAGGTGGTGGACAGTGGGTGGTGTTCATGAGTGCACGGTGGTGGCAGTGCCTAATTGGAATATCTAAATATTACATTAATTAAAAATAAAAATCTTTTATTTTTTAAGTCAAAAGAAAAAGTTCTTATGTTTACTCATACTCATTAGCTTCCATGTCCAGTACTTTATTCATGTGTTTAAATCCAGATTTCCAAATGGTGTAATTTATCCTTTCCTCAACAAACTTTTAACATTTTTTGCATTGCAGTATGGTCTGTTGATGGAGTCTTTTAGCTTTCATATATCTGAAAATATCTTTATGTGGCTTCTTCTCAGTTGACTTTTAGAGCAATTTTGGATTTACAGCAAAATTAAGCTGAAATTTATAGCAAAATTAAGCTCTCCCATCGATGCACAACTTTTCCAATCATCAGAATCTCACATTAGTGTGGTACATTTATTGCACAATCCATGATTCAACACTGACCCATTTATCAAGTTTAGTTTATCAAAAAAAAGTACATAGTTTACACTAGGATTCACTCATTGTATTGTTCTTTAGGGCTATGACATACCGTAGCTGTTAAGTACATTAAAAGTCACTGCTACTCCTATTCATCCCTCCTTCTAGAACCCCTGTCAGCCATTGATATCTCCATTGCTTTGCTTTTTCCATTATGGCATACAGTTCATACAAAATAGAGCTTTTTAGATACCTTTTATGTTTTTTTTGTATCGTGATAACTTTTCATTTTTTTAAAAAGATTCATTATTTCATTCACTCACTCATTCATTTGTTCATGCATACAAAACTGGGGCACAGACCAGAGGTGCAAGGATGGTGAGAGGATTCACCAGGGACAGAGT